TTAAAAATTAGGGGGCCTTTTAAGATCAGAATCGTCGTATAAAAATCATATCAAAAGCATTGTATATATAGCATGCTTCTTAATGTACAATTGGGAAAAGACTTACTCACCTGCAAGCGTTGTAACGCTCCGCAACGCATCTGGGGACGAAGCCACGTAAATCTCTCCTCACCCTAATTAATTTCTCTCCCCGGTGAATTCAAGGGTGGGCCCACACTAACTAATCACCCCCCTAATTCAACTGTGGGGCCCACACTAACTAATCTCACCCACTTGAATTCGCGTGAATTGGCCATGCCCGTACAATTGCTATGAAGTATTACTAGACCTTGGTGCACGCCTTCTTGCCGTTGCTGGGTGGCATCATTTAGATGTTCTTGGGACATGTTGCTGGATATTTCGGTGGATACGTCACTATATCTCCCGTTGCAACGCACGGGCATATGTGCTAGTAAGATATATAATTCAGCATTTAGTTTAGTTTTGGACAAAATAGTTAAGAGTAATTGTTATTGATTACCAGGCAAGCGCATGAACTCCAGTACTGGGTACTATAGTTATTTTTTTTCGAGAAAACACAAAGGACCTTTGTGTTTCATTGCATGGAAAAAGTAGAGTTTGGATACAATCCTCCTAGGAGGTCAAGTACAAATGAGGATCAGTGAAACTAGTGCACATCCCAGGTGGACGGTAGGACAGCACGAAGGCCGCGGGCACCAGCTCGTGCCCACTGCTGGGCTTCATCCTTGATCCTGGAGACCAGCACGTGAACCAAGGGTTGGGCGCCGTGGAAGATGCAATTGTGTTGCTTCCAGATTATCCACGACGCCAGGAGGGCAATGGAGGCTAGGCCTTTGCGCATCGGTGTCAGCGTGTTTTGCCTGGCGTGCAGCCACCAGTCCATGAGCGAATGTTCGTGGCTTGGTCTTGCGGTGGTCATCCGTAGCCAGGAGAGGATTTCGTGCCAAGTCTGCCTGGAGGAGACCACGCCTAGCCAAGCGATCAGCCGTCCAACACCTATCTTGGTCTGCCAACCAATGGAAGAACTTCACCCGCGGTGGCGCCCAATTCTTCCAGACGAGCTTCCAAGAGAAGGAAATTGTGGATCCCTGGAAGGTGGTTAGGTAGCAGGAGCTAGTAGTGTAAGGGCGTGTTCGGGAGCCCTCCGGCTCCTCAACTCCATGACTCAAGTCTGGAGCTGAGCCGAACGCTCCAAATCATGGTTATGGAGGAGAGAAGCTGGCTATCACGGTAGTGTATTTTATGTGGAGTTGAGGAGCGAGCAATTCCCAGCTCCCAGGATCTGAAGAAGCAGGAGTTGATCAAAATTACATGATGCTGCCACCACGAAGTGAGTCTGAGCGTACCGGTTTGAGCTTCTAATCCCACGACCCCCACGACCGACCAATCCCACCGCGAAGAAAAAGGAACCGACAACGAATTGGGCTATGAGCCTGCTACAAATTTCGAGTTGAATGGGCCAGATTGGGACAATTTCATGGGCTTCGGACTGACTCCTGGAACGAGCGAGAAGCCGTGTCCCTGAACATTTCGCCCGCTCCCGGCTCGCTCGGGAGAAGCTGGCGAGAGGATCCTGACGATGGAGTTGAGGAGTTGGTGGCCGTGGAGGGCTAACGAACAGGCCCTAAGTACCGGAGGCCGTCCATCTCCAAACTAGCTGGTCAGGGGCGTTCGAGAGCGTGATGTGCTCGATCGCCAGCCAGACATGAAGGTATTGCCCAATCTCATGTATACTGGGTAGTATAGTAGAAACAAGACATTGGTGACCTTTGGTTTTTCTGTCTCTCTTTAATCATTTGGCCTTGATGAACTAACCATGCACTCAGAAAGTTAATTTAGTGATTGCTATCAATTGGAAGCTTGAGTCATAGTTTTTTTTTCATGGTGCATGGGACCGGATTATTCTGGTCAAGCTGGTAGTTTGGGACTTAGTTCTCAATGTTATTAGCGCGTATGCCCTGCAAGTAGGCCATAATGAGAACACCAAGAGGGAGTTCTGGGAAGGTCTGGAGGACATGGTTAAGAGTGTACCTATTGGTGAGAAGCTCTTCATAGGAGGAGACCTCAATGGCCACATGGGTACATCTAATACAGGTTTTGAAGGGGTGCATGGGGGCTTTGGCTATGGCTATATGGCATCAGGAATCAAGGAGAAGATGTCTCGAGCTTCACTCTAGCCCAGGTCATGATCATAGCTAACACCCTCTTTAAAAAGGGAGAATCACATCTAGTGACTTTTAGTAGTGGTCAATACTCTAGCCAGATTGATTTCGTCCTCGAGAGAAGAGAAGACATCCGTGCTTGCCTAGATTGTTAGGTGATACCTGGAGAGAGTGTCGTCCCTCTCAATATAAGCTTGTGGTGGTTGACTTCCGCATTCGGATTCGTGTCCAGCGGTAGAAGCGCGCCAAAGTCGCTAGAATGAAGTGGTGGAAGCTCAAGAGGGAGGCAACTCATACTTCCTAGGAGAGGGTCATTAAGGAGGGCCCTTGGGACGAAGGAGGTGATGCAGACAATATGTGGATGAAGATGGCGACTTGCATTCATAAGGTGGCTTCAGAGGAGTTTGGGATGACCAGGGAAAGTAGAAGTGAAGCTAAAGATACCTGGTGGAACGATGATGCCCAGAAGGCTATTAAGGAGAAGAAAGATTGTTTCAGACACCTGCATTTGGGTAGGAGTGCAGACAACATAGAGAAGTACAAGGTGGCAAAGAAGGCCGCAAAGCGAGCTTTGAGTGAAGCAAGGGGTCGGGCGTACGAGGACCTCTACTGGCGCTTAGACACGAAGGAAGGCGGAAGGAACATCTATGAGATGGCCAAGATCCAAGCGAGGAAGACAAGAGATGTCCGACCAAGTCAAATGCATCAAGGATGAAGCAAATTTGCTTCTGGGGAAGGACGAGGAGATTAAGCATAGATGACGGGGTACTTCGACAAGCTGTTCAATGGTGAGAATGAGAGCTCTACCATTGAACTGGACGACTCCTTTTGATGATACCAGCAGATGTTTTGTGCGGCGAATCTAGGAGTTCGAGGTCAGGGAGGCTTTAAAAAGGATGAATGGTGGCAAGGCCGCAAAGCGAGCTTTGAGTGAAGCAAGGAGTCGGGCGTATGAGGACCTCTACTGGCGCTTAGACATGAAGGAAGGCGAAAGGAGCATCTATAAGATGGCCAAGATCCAAGCGAGGAAGACAAGAGATGTTGACCAAGTCAAATGCATCAAGGACGAAGCAAAATTAGCTTCTGGGGAAGGACGAGGAGATTAAGCATAGATGATGGGAGTACTTCGGCAAGCTGTTCAATGGTGAGAATGAGAGCTCTACCATTGAATTGGACGACTTCTTTGATGATACCAGCAGACGTTTTGTGCGGCGAATCTAGGAGTCCGAGGTCAGTGAGGCTTTAAAAAGGATGAAAGGTGGCAAGGCGTTGAGCCCTGATTGTATCCCCATTGAGGTGTGGAGAGGCCTCGGAGACATAATGATAGTATGGCTAACTAAGCTTTTCAACCTCATTTTTCAGGCAAACAAGACGCCAGAAGAATGGAGGCGGAGTATATTAGTACTAATCTTCAAGAACAAGGGGGATGTTCAAAGTTGTACTAATCACTGTGGAATTAAGCTGATGAGCCATACAATGAAGCTATGGGAGAGAGTATTTGAGCACCGCTTAAGAAGAATGACAAGCGTGACCAAAAATCAGTTTGGTTTCATGTCTGGGAGGTCGACCATGGAGGCCATTTTCTTGGTACGACAACTTATGGAGAGATATAGGGAGCAAAAGAAGGGCCTGCATATGGTGTTCATTGACTTAGAGAAGGCCTACGATAAGATATCGCAGAATGTCATCTGGTGGGCCTTGGAGAAACACAAAGTCCCAACAAAGTACATTACCCTCATCAAGGACATGGGACATCTCCTTATACATCCCTTGTGACCTCACCCATCACCAAAGCAAAAAAGATAAGTGCTCAAGGCTGACCCTTGGTGCAGTCCTATTTTAAATGAGAAGTCATCAGTGTCGCCATCCCTTGTTCGAACACTTGTCACAACATTATCATACATGGTGTATGCTATTTGCGGATGATGTGATGCTAGTCGATGATAGTCAGGACGGGGGTTAATAGAAAGTTAGGAGACAAATCTTGGAATCAAAAGGTTTTATTACACGAGGTGTGATTTCAGTACTACTAGGCATGGGGAGGAGGTTAGCCTTGTTGGGCAGGTGGTACCTCGAATGACGCCTTTCAATATTTGGGGTCAATGTTGTAGAAGGATAGTGATATCAATGAAGATGTGAGAGCAAGCTGGATGGATGAAGTGGCGCCAAGCTTCTGGCAGTCTTTGTGACAAGAGTGCCACAACAGCTAAAAGGCAGGTTCTATAGAACGGCGATTCGACCCGCAATGTTATATGGCGTTGAGTGTTGGCCGACTAAAAGGCGACATGTTCAACAGTTGGGTGTAGCGGAGATGCGCATGTTGAGATGGATGTGTGGCCACACAAGAAAGGACCCGTCTGGAATGATGATATATGGGATAGAGTTGGGGCAGCACCAATTAAAGAGAAGCTGGTTCAACATCGTCTGAGATGGTGTGGGCATGTTTAGCGCAGGCCTCCAGAAGTGCATAGCGGACGGCTAAAGCGTGCTGATAATGTCAAGAGAGGTCGGGGCGGACCAAACTTGACATGGGAGGAGTCCGTAAACAGAGATCTGAAGGACTGAAATATCACCAAAGAACTAGCCATGGACAGGGGTGTGTGGAAGTTAGCTATCTACATGCCAGAACCATGAGTTGGTTTCTAGACCGTATGGGTTTCAGCTCTAGCCTACCCCAACTTGTCTGGGACTAAAGGCTTTGTTGTTGTTGTTGTCGTTGTTGTTGTTGTTGTTGTTGTTGTTGTTGTTGTCATTTACCTTTTGTTACTTTGTGATAAGGACATGTTTCATTCTTTTTATATGTTGAACTATATGAAGGTTGTTTTTACTGGGTTTGCCTATGGTGGTCTGTCCGAATTATCTGAAGATGAATATACTTCATGCACAATGGGCTCGACAATAGCAGGAGAAATTGGTATTTTTGGCTACAAACCTTCTGTCTTGATGGACATGCTTGCTGGCAAGAGAGCTGAAGTTGGTACAAAAGTTGGGGCGTACATGAGATCATTTTCTGGCGATTGTTCACCTTCAGATCTTGAGACTGGTTTACAGGTTTGCCTATCTTCAAGCATTCTTAATTGAGCATAAAGTGTGTTCTAATTTACAGGAACATGCTGACGGCACTATACACATAGCAATCATATCACTTGTATCTGTGAAAAGTGGGTCTATGCTTATCCTTGACTGCCTTCTGAAATACAGCTTGTCTACCAACTATTTACAACAAAGGTGGAGCCAAGGGAGGAAGAAGTAAAAATAGTCATGCAAATGGCGGAGGAAGCTATCTATGCTCAGGAAAGAGATCCTTACACTGCATTTGCAAATCGTTCACGGGAAATAAATTATGGGAACTCCTACTTCTTTAAGGTACACCTTAATAAGCTGAACACTGATAAGTTCCCAATGCTTTCTTCCTATTATTTCTTTATTTAAATTTAAATTTACAAGCTCCATTATGCAGCCAATTAGAATAAGTGATTTGAAGAAAGTGAATCCAATCAGAGCATGTGAATATTTCAACAGTTGCTTCAAGGATCCATCAGCTTTTACCGTTGTAGTAGTTGGAAACATAGACCCAGACATCTCAATCCCACTGATATTGGAGTACCTGGTATGTTCTGTTCCTCTTCTGATTGTTACAAAGTAGATGCCAAACCCTTGTAATGCTGATGGACTCTTCTTTTTTTGTAGGGTGGGATACCGAAGGTACAGGATACAGTTCAGCCACTTAGTCGTGAGGATCTAAAGGGATTGCCCTTCAAGTTTCCGGAAACCATAATTAGGTTTGCTGCTGTTTTTTTTTCCTTGCACTAATTATATCAGTTGCACACGTGCAGGGTGTAGCAACCACACAGTTTCTTTTTTCCTTTTCCAGAAATTATCCTGCCAAACACTAGTAATCTTACCCTGAACTGTTTTTTTTTTGTTTTGCAGAGAAGTTGTCCGCAGCCCTATGGTTGAAGCTCAGTGCTTCGTCCAACTAGGGTTTCCAGTGGTTCTAAAGAGCACAATGATGGTATGCAGCCCTTGAAATAATATAATACTGTAATAGTTTGTTTCAAAACCTAACCTTGATCTTACACTATATTCTGCTCTATGCGAAGACGGAGGATATTCACTATGTTGGATTTCTAAGTAAACTTCTTGAAACAAAAATCATGCAAGTACTCCGCTTCAAATATGGACAGGTAAAATATCCTGGGCAAGCAAAGACCATCTGGATTGATTATTCCCTTCCAACATGGACTGCAGCATTTAGAGTTTAGTACGTATAATATATTTTTCATTTTGCAGGTCTACTCAGTTAATGTAGGTGTCTTCTTAGGTGGCAACAAACCTTCTAGAAGTGGAGATGTTCGTGGAGACATAAGTGTGAATTTCTCATGCGATCCAGACATGTCATCTAGGCTCGTATGATTTATTGACTTTCTGGTTAAAATTATGTAGTCTTGTTATAAGAGGCTTCAGTTCGGAGTTGACACTCAGAATTTTTTCAGGTTGATTTTGTTCTGGAAGAGATATCATATCTACAGACAGAAGGCCCTTCTGAAGAAGATGTATGGACCATCCTAGAAATTGAACAAAGAGCCCATGAAAACGGATTGCAGGTTTAGTTGAAGTTTTCTTTATGTACTTATAATCCTGATATGGTTTGGCATTTTAATATTTACGACCATCCTAGAAATTGAACAAAGAGTGCATGAAAACGGATTGCAGGTTTAGTGGGAGTTTTCTTTATGTAAATATTAATGCTGATATGGTTTGGCACTTTATATTTACAGTTTTTTTCTTGTGAAACTGCAGGAAAATTATTACTGGTTGGATCGAATTCTGCGGAGCTATCAATCAAGGATTTATTCAGGAGATGTTGGATCCACCTTCATGGTAGTGTGAAGCTTTCTATCTGTTATTGAGTTCATGTTTCTCCTGTTATTTGCTGGCTTACAAAACATATTATCAGCAGAGGGACGTGCCTTCATATTTTACAGATATTACCGATCATCACCAGAACATATATTTTTCAGCCTTACTTTCCTCTAGTTTAAATTGTATATTTGAAATGACGTGTTGTTGAGTGCTTACTTTCTGTTTTGCGCAGGTTCAAGATGAGGGACGTGTAAAAGTTAGAGAAGCTTTGACACCACAGGCCATGCAAATGGCCTTGCGAAGGGTGATATCTTTCCCATGTAAAAAACAGTACACGGTAGTAATCCTTATGCCTAAGTCATCTCGTTGGAATTCGTTGATATCGGTGGTTAGTTGGAGTTCTGGTGGATTTAGCAGAGATGCCAAGGTTAGATATTGTATTTACCATGGCATGCAATTCTCTCAGTTAAATTTTTCACCCAAAATGCGATCATTTTGATAATTCTCGCCCACTCTGCAGATTTTGGCTGGCATGGCTGGTGCACTGGTCTTAGCAGCCAGTTTGTGGAGATACTCACGGGGTGCATTGAGATCGTAGTGCACAGCACATTTAAGTTAAGAGCCAAATTGGTAGATGTTTGTTACCATCTCACCATCAGCCAGCAAATCTGGTTGTTGGTGCGGTGATTCTTCATCACGGAAGAAGGTATACAGAAATCGGTAGCTAACTGATTCGTTGCTGCGTGTGTGTAAGATTGTAACAACATTGGTTTACTGCCACATGCGTGCGTGTAACAGCCGCTGATTACTACTGGCACCTCCCAGTTGATTCAAATGGTAGAACGCTTATGCCAGATTCAGTTTTGTCGAGATCGATTGCACGTGCTTTGTGTACCCAGGATGGCAAAATAATAGATGCACCGTTTCATATATGCTTTGCCATTTTTTTTACATCAACACCATTTGCATCCTTTTCTTCTTCTCATGGCCATGGTTTTTCCTATTAACAAGACTAAAATCGTGCTTGCAAACATCTGGGCAAAAGTCTCATAACGCATTGCTGCATTGTCCCTTCGGCCTTTGCCTCATGCACACGATTTGCATCAGGAGTCGGCAGAAGAGAATCAAGAGATGAATCGGCACATAGGTGGCCGTCCGGCTGACACCACTAGCTGCACCGACCAAAGCGGTGATTTGGCATTTTGTAAAGTAAAAGAAAAAGAGGTAACGGCATCTGGGGTTCCAGAAATTTGGCAAACGTGATCTGCAAACTAAAGATGTCACTCCGTTGTTGTTAACAAACTTGGTCGGGCGTGGCAAATAGAGCAGCCCATAATTTGGCTAGATCAGTGAGGGGAACCGTTCTTGGGAGCCAGATTTTACTCGTGCTGTTCTAGCTGATGATGTAACTGTGATTCTAGATCAATAAAAATTGCCATGATGGCTTTCCTCAAAAAAAAAAAAAAAAAAAAACAAACAAACTTGGTCGGCTGTGGCAAATAAGCCTTTGGCCAATCACACTGTGCTGTTTGGCTACCATCGTGGGATCTTTCGGCCGAGCTGCCTCGGCAATTGTCGGCCCGTGCACCCCTATCCCAGGTCTTTGTGAAACATACACGCACAATAGTGAACACATATAGTACAGAGGCCCTCGTTTGCAGTGCTGTGTTGCCGCTCTCACTTGTAAGAAAGATGACACGGAGTATCCTATGAACATATCATGTCAAGAGCTTGTTTGACAAGTGATTCGTGCGACATTTACTTCACATACATAAAAAGTATTCTATGAATCATTTCTTTTGCACGTGCTTACTTGACCCCTTTGAGGATGGTATACTACTTGACACTTCACTCGTGTGCATATTGGAACGCTATGGACATCGAGAAGGAGTGCGAGCGTAAGTGTACAACTACACCATCCGCGAGGAAAGCGTGGAAGCAAAAACGGAAGAAGACGGAGCTGCGGAGTCTACAGCGGCCGGACGACCGGAAGACACTAGACGTCTGACACTCTACAACGCCCGGATGACCGAGCGCTGATACATCTCCGTCGTATTTATAATTTTTGATTGTTCCATGCCAATATTCTACAACTTTTATATACTTTTTGCAACTTTTTATACTATTTTTGGCACTAACATATTGATCCAATGCCCAGTGCCAGTTCCTGTTTGTTGCATGTTTTTTGTTTCATAGAAAATCAATATCAAACGGAGTCCAAACGGGATAAAATCTGACGGAGATTTTTTCTGGAATATACATGATTTTTGGGAAGAAGAATCAACGCGAGACGATGCCCGAGGGGGCCACGAGGCAGGGGCGCGCCCCAGAGGGTCAGGCGCGCCCTGGGCCCTCGTGGCCACCCTGTAAGGCGGTTGGTGCCCTTCTTTCGCCACAAGAAAGCCAATATCCAGATAGAGATCTTGTTAAAATTTCAGCCCAATCGAAATTACGGATCTCTGGGAATTTGAAAAACGGTGAAAGGCCAGAATCTGGAACGCGGAAACAGAGAGAGACAGAGAGACAGATCCAATCTTGAAGGGGCTCTCGCCCCTCCGCCGTCATGGAGGCCATGGACCAGAGGGGAAACCCTTCTCCAATCTAGGGGGAAGGTCAAGGAAGAAGAAGAAGGAGGAGGGGGGGGGGGTCTCCCCCTCTCTCCCGGTGGCGCCGAAACGCCGCCAGGGCCATCATCGTGTGACAGTGATATACACCAACACCTCCGTCATCTTCACTAACATCTCCATCACCTTCCCCCATCTATCTACAACGATCCACTCTCCCGCAACCCGATGTACCCTCTACTTGAACATGGTGCTTTATGCTTCATATTATTATCCAATGATGTGTTGCCATCCTATGACGTCCGAGTAGATTTTCGGTGTCCTATTGGTAATTGGTGAATCGCTATGATTGGTTTAATTTGCTTGTGGTTATGTTGTTGTCCTTTGGTGCCCATCATATGAGCGCGCGCGTGGATCACACTATAGGGTTAGTTGTATGTTGATAGGACTACATATTGGAGGGCAAGAGTGACAGAAGCTTCAACCTAGCATAGAAATTGATGTATACTAGATTGAAGGGGGACCAATATATCTTAATGCTATGGTTGGGTTTTACCTTAATGAACGTTAGTAGTTGCGGATGCTTGCTAATAGTTCCAATCATAAGTGCATAGAATTCCAAGTCAGGGATGACATGCTAGCAGTGGCCTCTCCCACATAAAACTTACTATCGGTCTAATAAAGTAGTCAATTGCTCAGGGACAATTTCGCAACTCCTACCACCACTTTTCCACACTCGCTATACTAACTTTATTGCTTCTTTATCTAAACAACCCCTACTTTTTATTTACGCGCTCTTTATTATCTTGCAAACCTATCCAAAAACACCTACAAAGTACTTCTAGTTTCATACTTGTTCTAGGTAAAGCGAACGTTAAGCGTGCGTAGAGTTGTATCAGTGATCGATAGAACTTGAGGGAATATTTGTTCTACCTTTAGCTCATCGTTGGGTTCGACACTCTTACTTATTGAAAGAGACTACAATTGATCCCCTATACTTGTGGGTTACCAAGACCTTTTTCTGGCGCCGTTGCGGGGGAGTTATAGCGTGGGGTGAATATTCTCGTGTGCGCTTGTTTGCTTTATTACTAAGTAATTTTTATTTGCTGTTCTAAGTTGTTCTCTATCTTTAGTTATGGATATGGAACACGAAATACCAAAAAAATTAGGTTTACTTGCTACTCATGGAGATGGGGAACCTCCTAAAACCCTCGATGCTCATTATGTGAAAGATATTATGTACTACTTTGATAATTTCGAGAAAACCCCATTCAACTTTATAATGGGAGTAACGTTGGATCAACGTGAATACTTTAGGGATTATCGCTTGACTCAAAAAGGAAAACTATTATGGGATCAAATTTATATGTTGCATTGGTATGCTCGGCAACTATGCTTGAGATATGATTATACTTGTTGCTCTAGGATGAAGGCTCCATACCTGCCCTTTTCATGTGAATTTAATGATAATGAAACCTTGGCTTCTTATACTAATGGTATATATGGTTATTATGATGTGGAACAAATAGAAGAATTCGTTGCTTTTATGGGTGCTTATGAAATTGAATCTTTGTTTAAAGAGTTTGAAGATTTTGACGATTCAGTTTATAGACCTGAAAAATTAGCTATCCTTAAATATTGCTATGAGAATTATAAATACAATTATGATATTTATGAATTTATTGAGAAAGTCTCCGCTGCCCAAGAAGAGACTAATATTTTGCAGGAGTCTATGGAAGAAGAAATTGATGAAACTGTGAGCTCATTGGATGAAAAAAGATGATGAGGAGAGCGAAGAACAAAAGAAGGAAGAGCGGATTAGCTACCCATGCCCACCTTCTAATGAGAGCAACTCTTCAACTCATATATTGTTTAATTTCCCTTCATGCTTACCGAAGGATGGTTGCTATGATGATTGTTATGATCCCGTTGATTCTTTTGAAATATCCCTTTTTGATGATGCTTGCTATGCTTGTGGCCAAAATGCCAATATGAATTATGCTTACGGAGATGAACTTGCTATAGTTCCTTATGTTAAACATGAAATTGTTGCTATTGCACCCATGCATGATAGTCCTATTATCTTTTTGAATTCTCCCGGCTACACTATATCGGAGAAGTTTGCCCTTATTAAGGATTATATTGATGGGTTGCGTTTTACTACTACACATGATGATTTTGATAGATATAATATGCATGTGCTTGCTTCTCCTACTTGCAATTATTACGAGAGAAGGACTACATCTCCGCCTCTCCATGTTTCCAATATGATAAAATTGCAAGAAACTGTTTATACTATGCATTGGCCTTTACTATGTGTGCATGAATTATTTTTCTATGACATGCCGATGCATAGGAAGAGAGTTAGACTTCGTTGTTGCATGATATATGTTACTTTGTGCTCACTACTAAATCACAAATCATTGTTAATAAAAATTGACTTTGATATACCTTGGGATCCGGGTGGATCCATTACTTGAGCACTATATGCCTAGCTTAATAGCTTTAAAGAAAGCGCTGCCAGGGAGACAACCCGGAAGTTTTAGAGAGTCATTATTTCTGTTGAGTTCTTTTATATAGTTAAAAAAATATAAAAAATAAAGAGGGGAACCCAAAACTTTTCAAAAAGGAAAGTGGAAGTGAGAGAGACAAACATTGTTGAAGTGGGGGAGCTCCTTGAACTTTGTTCATGCTCATGGAAACTTTGTGAATCTTGATTACAGAAACTTTTCAACAAAAATAATTATCCCCTTATACAATTTCATTGTATTAAAAAAATAATGTGCCAAGATTTGCCTTTAGGATGTTTACATTGCTTGCTGGTTTGTGCGGTGTAGAACAGAAACTTTGGCTGTAGTGCGCGATTTTACATTTTTTACTGGAACTTCAAACGGTTCTGAAACTTTTTGCACTATCTTTCTATACAATTTTTTTATTTTTCCTAATTATTTCAGAATTTGTGGAGTACCAGAGGTATGGTGAATGTTCAGATTATTACAGACTGTCCTGTTTAAGACAAATTCTGTTTTTGATG